TCAGAGAGTTTTCCTGGGCATGGAGGGAAAGGAACAAAAAAGGGGAATGTTTTTATGTAGCATCCTTGGTGGTGAGCACACATTTCAACAAAGCATTCCTTGCTAAGAAAAAAACCACTTTCTTAGAGGATGGGGAAGCACCGATCACAAATTAACGAAAATTAGCAGAGCAAGAGGAGACCCCTGGTTTTCCATATCATTAGCCCTGCCCTCATCCTGTTTTCAGAATGAACATAAGGAAGGAGAGGGAAGGAAGCTGTCTATACAAGGAAGTGCTGTCATCTCTGGCAGGCCCTTTCTGGAGTCACTTTGCTGTTCCCCCTCTCTGCTTTTCTCCTCCAACATGAATTTTGGCCGTAACAGTAGTTGTCACACTGACATGCTTGCTGTATGCTAGCCCTGCACCAAACACTTCATGGGTGCTTTCTCATTTGATCTTCACAACAGCATCGTTCACAGCCTGCTTGTTACCCCAATTCACAAATAAGGAAGCGGGTGCTTGTGTGGGGGTGGGGATGGTACTCATGATTCTTTTCTGTAATACTGCCTGTAACTTTTATTAATCCAATTCTCTTTCCTTAGCCCTTTTCTTCTCTCAGTCACTCTCGTTTAGATAACTGTACTGTTCCAGCAACTGTGATATTTTTTACTGCAGAAACTCTGAATTGAGAAATTGAGGTGCTTGGTGGTTGTACTGCCTCTCCCTATACACCAGGAAATCCTCCAAAGCCCATCCAACAGTTTCACTCATGTAATACAATGACCCTGAGAGGAATACTATTACCTCCTCAGCTGAGGATACTAGACACCAAGAAGCAAAGGAACTTTCCCAAAACGCAGAGTAAGAGTCAGAATGAGAATTTGAACCCAGAATGTCCAGCTCTGGGACCTGCATTCCTATTCTGGCTTCATCTTACTTGACTTAGCAGGATTAGCACAATTGATCACTCAATTGTTCTCAAAATCCTTTCTTCACTTGGCTCCCAATCCATCTTACCTGGTTCTTGTCCTACTTTTGACTGTCCCATCCCACTCTCCTTTGCTAGTTTCTCCTTGTTTCCCTGACATCCAAAAGTTGGAGTGCCCCAGAGATCAATCTTTGGACCTGTTTTCTACACTCAGTCCCTAGATGACCTCATCCAATTTTACAGCTTAAATAGCTCTATGTAAATAGCTTACAAATCAATATGTCCTGTCTGGAACTCTCTCGTAAAATTCAGACTCATATATCTACCTGCCCACTCAACCTCTCTACTATTGACTATCTGTGGCATCTCAAAATCAACATGCCTATGGCTGAGCTCCTGCTCTTCTGCCACAAACTTGCTACTCCCTCAGTTAATGACAAGTCGATTCTTCCAGTTGCCCAGGCCAGAGCCCTGGATGTCATTCTTGACTCCTCATTTTCTTCTCTCACAGTGCATTCAATTCATCTGTAAAATATATACAAGATTTGGCAGCTTTTCATCACCCCCTCATGATCACCACCCTAGTCCACGCCACTATCATCATATGCCTAGATATTGCAATGGTTTTTCATGGGTCTCCCCTTGACTCACCTTGACTCTCCTGCCAACTTGAGGGGAATAAGGCATCACCTTAAATACAAAATTTAAGAAACATCAAAACTCAATAATCATGACAAATAATATTTTAATGTAATCTTTTTTAAAAATCCATAATTTAAAATAGCAAAATTTTAAATAAAAACTGGACTAGACCCTGTCTTTGCATTACTCACCTCCTTTTCCTCACCTTAGTCCCAATTCCATCCCACTCAACTCTCTTCAATGTGTTCAACATTTACAGCTATCCTGTTAAAACTTAAGTAAAATCTTGGCAATCCTCTGGCTTCACATCTCCGAGCAACAGCCAAAGCTCTTTTCATGATCTACAAGATCCTACATGACCTGGTCGACCATTATCTCCCTAACTCCAACTGCCACTTCTCTCTCCTTCACTCAGCTTCATCAGCTTCACATGGGCCACCTCACTATCCCCTCAACAAGCTCCCACCTTAGGGTCCCAGCCCCTGCCATGCCCTCTGCCTGGAATTCTCTCCCCCAAGTACATTCCTCATTTCACCCAGCTTTCTGCCCAAATTCACTCTATGTAGACCACACCATGTAAAATTTCATCCCTCCACACAACCTACTTCGCTTCATATTCTTCTTCCATTCTTTATTTTTTTCTCCCTAGAAATTACCATAAACACTCTATTTTTATTTATTGTTTTATCCACTATACAACTCCATAAAATAATACAAAGCTGAGATTTTGGGAAGAGAAGGGCTTGTTTTGTTCTCTTTATATCCCTGTTTCAAAAAATTCACAGATGATAGTAAGTACTCAGTAAATACTATAGTGTTTGAATGAAGACTGATAAACACTCGTGAGTGCATTTCTTTAGCTCCAATAGTCTTAATGTCTGCGATGTATAGGTTTTGAATTCTATTACCTCAATAGATTACATCAGGAACTACACTTTCAGAATGCAGTTGCATAAAATCTGAAGAATTCACAGGGTGCTAAATTAGATAACGTATTGCAAAACCTTTGTTTCAAATTGACCAATTTTTGAAACAAAAGTCTCACTTGCTTAAAAAATATTTATCTGGGATTCAAGTTCATGCCTTAAATTATCAATGTTGGGAGACAGAGTTATTTTGGAGAAATAAACATTGAAGATCAAGTTTCTCTTATGGCAAATCCTGAATTTTATTTTCATATTCTGATTTCAAATGACAACATATATTTAGATGTTATCCAGATTTTCTTAATTTCATAGTGAAACTGTGTGTAATCAAAAGATCTTCCTCTTGTAAAATATCTTTGATTCCCTTTATTAATTATTAACCAAAACTAAAGATAGGTTTTGTAAATAAAACTTGTTTCACCATGAACTGTTATCTTTTGATAGAAAAGATGAAGTTCAGCAAAGAGCAAATCTACAGGTTGGCCAAAGACAACAGACTTTGCCTGCAAACATCTGTAAGACACCCATGGCTAACCTCATCAGACCCCAAGTCCATTTATGGCCTCCTAGCTCATGCAGGTTAAATTCAGCACTGTGGGAGAGTTTAAGAATGTCCTGATGAAAAGATAATTTTAGTAACATTTGGGAACAGAGCAAGAGTCAGGTTTTGTCTGAAAGTCTAACTTTCTTTGTAAAGCTTCAAAATGCCTTTTGTAGTTTTATGTTTTTAAGAGAGTTTTTTTTTGTAGATGTTTCTATGACTGTATTCACCAGCGGGTTGGGGTTATAAAGTGAAAACAGGTCTTGTTTTCCCCCCTACCTTGTAGTGTTGAGAGAAAGAGCATTTATACTATAAATGTGTCAGTAAAGCTACAAGTTCCACCCTGGATTGTGACACATATTCCACATCACCACTATCATAAAGATATTTTCTAATTTGTCTTAGCCAAAATGTGAAGTTAGGGTTTGTTTGTTTTTTTCTTTTTCTTTTTAAACCACTGCCTTTTGCAAAGTGCAGACACAGAAACTAGTATGTTAACTAACTGGGTTTGTTTACTGCCCATAAAGCTACTGCCTTGCAGCTGGGCAGGGGGCGGAGCTGACATACAGACAGCACTAAATACTCCTAGAGAGAATGAGTGAGTGAAAACGGAATTGACCTGGGTCAGAAGCAAGCAAGAATTATTAGAAAGGTCAGGGGAAGAATGACCATGTTTACTTGAAGAGCATAAAACTGTTCTGTCCCTGTAACAGCTAATAGGTATTATCTGTCTGGAATCTCTTTATTTCTTTCCTTTAGTTCTTTAAATTATATTGCAAATATTACTTTGTAAATGATATTTGCCTATTAGTTTGGGTACTTTTTAATTCTATTATTTTAATCATACTTTAAAGCCACATTTTACTGAAATAATTGCCTCAGCTTCTTCCCTTAATTTGGTCACCCAAATTTTTGTCCAGTGTCCTATATCATTAACGATTAATTCATTCTGAATCTTTAAATGACAACAAAAACCAGTACAGGAAATCTCAATACACAGGACAGAAAAGTTTTTAAAGGGCTTATCATAAAATACATTAGATTTGCCTTTGATTCATAAAACACGTCTCCTCTACCTGGGCTGGCAGAGCACATTGAGCACAGTGAAAACCCAGCACAGAACCTTCACTGTCCCATTCACACTCTGACCCAGCAGGTATGTTCCTACATGCACATGGGAAACATGGGAGACTTCAGAGCTTCGCACCACTATAGCCTGGGACATTCAGCATGGCCATAGCCTTGCCCTGGGAACCTGTGCATTTGAATAACCATCATATTTGGAATGGGCCTCAAATCTCTTACCCAAATAGAAAGCATAGGCAAGAAAATGCTGAAATCGAATATTCATATCTACATAAACAAACATGGACATGTGTAAACTCTCATAATATCTTAGATTTTTACAAAGGGCTTCATGTCCTTTACTGAGTGTTCTGTGTGGTATATGATCCAGATGTTACTAGGCCCTTCCAATACCACTCAAAAGGACCCACTTGCTCTTGTTTTGTTAAAGCCTAGATACCATTGTTATTACATAAAGTAGTCTGCATAATGGCCTCCGTAGAACTGCCACCAGTACATTCTGTTCTAGAAATTTATCTTTGGAGAATAAGTAGGTAAATGTCTTAGTTAACACAGAACAGGTAATTGAAGCTAAAACTCAAGATTTTGATAGCTTATACCAGTTGATTGATTTAGCAACAGTGCCCTCTTCCCACATCCGCAAGGACCATTCTGCGTATTCTTTTAATTGACGAGAGCTAATTTGTGTTTAAGCATTTGGTGACATCCTGAGATCACTGGATTGAAAATTACTGATCTGCATTCTAACTGGAGAAGGGATATTACTCATTTTTTTACTTCTAAATTTCAACTGAAATCAAATGTTTAAAAAAAAAAACTCTTCCTTAATAAGGATATTTAACTGGCCTAGTTTGTGTGTGGCTGTTAGTTGCTCTAACCTTGATGACTCATTTGCAGAGAATGTTCCTAAAGATGTCCCTCATGAAAAGGACAAGTTTGGACTTGGCAACAGCAATTTACTTAATTTATCTTAAATTTGATTTCAGTGAGCAACCCTAATTAACCTGATTTTTTGCTGATAATCACTCTCAATGGAATCAAATCACAAATCCGGGGATGGATTGAGCGGCACCCAGAAGGAAGCAGCCCTTCGCGCACTGGTCCAGCGCACAGGATATAGCTTGGTCCAGGTAGGCACTTCTTATGACATGTGCTGAGACCCACAGAATTCAGTGCTGAGACACTGAATTCATAGTGAGACTATCAGTGGTCTTAAGGTGCACAATGGGAATGGTCAGTCATGCAACTCTTCAGGTGGATGTGCCTTTCCAGTGGGGGAGGAAGTTGCATCATTTCAGTTTTGCACATGACCCTGCAGGTGATGTTCTGCCTATTCTGGGCTGTCAACTCAAACTTAATTTCTCATTTGAAAATGAAATCAGTGTCCAGAGTTATAAAGACTATCACAGCTTTTAAAGGCAATATTAGTATATGAAAAGACAGTTGGAATTTGTGACCCAAAGATGTCAATGAAGTAGAACCAAGCCAGTGTTTCACAAATCATCAGAGAACAAACTATCCAGGCAGCAGATTTGGTCTCCAAACAGATCGTTGCAGATGCAGAAGGACTGCTAGATATGGGATCCAAGGACCGACCACTTGGTCAGCCTAGCTATTCCAGTTATTTCTCATAACATCTGCTCAATAGTTTTGGATAATATGATAATTTTTTTATTTAATGTTCATCATTTTTTAAAATAACCCTAAATTGTCTATTCATAGATGTGATTGTAAGAATTATCTGTATATTATTATCTTTATAATAACTTCCTTTAAAAAGCTTTTCATATATTTAAAAGCAAATTAGTATCAGACATATAATGGATCTTATTTGGAAAAAAATAATGTTATTCTTTTTAGAGTAAGGCTAAGTATTGTACTTTGCAGCAATTTGTTTGTCCTGCCCCCACACAATTTTCCAATTCAACCAAATCTCTGTGTTGTTAGGAATACCAATGTCATACGTGGATAACAATAAAATAGGCAGCAGTGTCTCTTATTACAAGGTCTTCTGACAGACTGTTGCAAAATGTACTACATTTAGTTTTCAACTAATCTTACAAGTCATGGCATGCCTTGTTAGAGATAATACTGTATAATGCTCAACATTGTTCCTAATTCTTCACCCTAATGAGGAGTTTTCAGTTATACTTTTTAAAGATTTCAGAATTTCTGGTAGAGTTTTCAAAGTTTCATTTATGTCAAGGGCAAGGGAAATACCAATATATTATTAGTTCTTTTTAATATTTAATAAAAGTTAAAATATTCTAGATGTTTTTATCTCCAAATTTAATGTACTTCAAAATTAATGACTGAGTGAAAAATGTTGTGCAGGCTTCTACCACATAAAGTGGTATTTTATAATTCATAGAGATCTGATCAGGTACAGTTGAGGATAGTAGGGATTTTTCCTTTTATAATCAGTACTTCCATAGATGTTATAAAATCAAATATTGTTATTAAGTCAGTATTTTTTAAAAATTCTTTGTATTTGAAACATTCATGCAAAGACAGTGGTAGTGGAAAGTGTTTAAAACCTTTTTAAAATTAATTTGTCAATATTTATTTATAAGAATATTCCTTCTGTAAACTAATCTCTGATGATCCAAAGTATGACAGAAATACATATAAATCTGTCTAGTCTGACATTATTTATAATACTTCAACATATCAAACCTAAATATATAAAAGGAAGGAAATTATTAAGGTATGAATATATGATCAATACACCCAAGAAGCATAATTTTATAAGAAATAATCCTAAAACAATATAAAGTGTCCATTTAACTTTATTCTGGGCTCTGGTGCTTCCTTTACCCCCAGATAAAACTCAGGGAAAGGCTAATGACTGTTCTGATTACTTTCAGGTAATAAAAAAATCTCCACTAAATAATTAGGTCTAGTCCAGCATACTAAAAACAACTTCATTCGAAATTATAGCTATTTCCCTTTTCCAGCTATGTCAAAGTGGAGTGCGATTTCTTTTCTGTTTACTCCTTTACACTTTCAGAAGCATAGTTTCTATGTCAGTTCGCTAACTGTAATTCCTCACTCAGAGCTGAAGCAGGAGAGGGATAAGAGCAAAGGAAAGGGGACAGGGAAGCTCTTACTTGACTGATATTGGTATTAGGCTCTTTTGGCCTGGCAGGTATGTAAAGATCATCGGATACTTTGTAGGATCATCAGAGCCATCCTTAAGTCCATGGTTGGGGATCTCGCCCCTGGCTATACTCCCCTCTGCCTGGCCACTGTCCTGAGCCTGGGCCTCCTTCTGCAGAGCTTTTTAAACTCTAAGTAGCTCTCCTGGAAAAGATGAAATATAACCCCAAATTCCAACATATGGTCAAACTCTAGTCCCCTGGAGACACTCACATGCTCTCTGATCCAGCAAACTCTAGAAGTGCAGGTGACACAAAGGAACGAGCTCTCCTTCTCACCAAACTCAAAGCAGCAGGCCAACCCAGTGCTCTCCAGTAGGCATCTCCGCAATGAATTAGACTCACCAGCCCAGAGTGTTCCCAAATGCAGAGGACGCCTATGAAGCTCTCTGAGCGTTGTCCTACTACCCCTCTCCCCTGCTTTAGGTAAACTGAGAAGCAACTTGCAATTCCTTCCATTAAGGGGTAACTAGGATTCACAACACATCAGGCAGTGGTCTCCACATATCTTTGAATAAACTCCAAAAGCTCCTCTCAAACTTTTCAATCTCATTTCTAAACTGCAGTGTAGAAGAGAGGAGGGAATATTATTCACTTAAGAATGTAAAACAGTTAAAACAGTTTTCCCTACCTCTGTGTCCTACTTGGTGACCCAGTGACTTGGCTTCCTATTTAAACCAGACGCCAGAGGAGATCCATTCTATCTTAAAATACTGTTACAAATGAAAATGCATTCAGTCATTAAGCGATCATTTAAAACATTCTGCAGGACAGAAAATTGTAACATTATTATTACAGCTATGTAAAAAACTTGGAAATAACAATATTTTTGAAAAGAGGTTCAAGCAACGATGGAGATCATGTTACAAACCTAATCTATGATTTAAGAACATTTGCATTATAAAGGAAAAAACCAATAGGGCTATGTAACTTCATAACAAAGTACTTTCAAATAAAATACCCCTAAAAATACGTGGCAAATCTGTATGTTACTTTGATCTTCTATATTCAATTACATTGAAAAAAACGTCATAAGGATTTAGACCACACATTAATAACAATAACAAAATAATAGTCAACATTTATTGGGCACTTATATTCTAACTGCTTTATGTATATCAATTCATTCAATCATTAAATCTATGAGGCAACTACTATGATACTATTCAATTTCCAGAAAAGGAAAACAAGACATAAAGAGGTTAGGTCACTTGCTCAAGATAAAAAGGCTATAATTCCAGCACTATTGGCCAAAATTTCTGATAAGATTTACAAAACTAAGAGCTACTATAATGTTATCTTTAAGATCACAATTTTAGAGGTAAGCCTGTTAGGGCATTCTAAAAATACTTTCCTGAGCCTGAACTTTGTAGCATAATTCACTTTAAATAATATTTGTTAGCAGAATGACTATTAGTTCAGAAATTATCCAATAATGTAGAAAGCTAAAACTCTCCAACCTAGTTATCTAGATCCAAAACCCCTACCCAAGATTTAAATATATACATGACTCAGTTCAATCGTTTTGGATTAATTGGAAACTCCCAACTGATTCTGGCTGCAAAGTATTGAAAATCACTCAAGACTTCATACTAGAGTTGGTAGAGACTGGTCTCTACCACATACAAGTTATGTAATTTTGAACACGTCTGTCATCCACTCAAGGGCCTAATTTCCCACAGGATTGACTAGAACATTCCCCTAGTCTATCAGTCATCATTTTGTGATCCTAGTATCTGCTGAGTCTAATCATTGGTCAGCAAACCACAGTGATTAGTTGGAAGAGAAGACCAGCGTAGAGTGAAATGCAGCCTCCAACTCTGTAACTTAGGGAAAATCCTTCCGCCTTTTTAATACTTGTCTTCCTACCCTGGATTAGAGGAAAGGTTAATATTATTATTTTAAAAAAAAACAGGACAGCATCAGTTTACTTTTTAAAAAATCTGTACAAAAGTGAAAATAGACATCTTAATACAATTCAGGGAGCATACCCACAAAATGATCATTTCAAATTTTATATTTATGAAGTATGAGTTTGAAAGCCTTACTCTGCTATAACTTTGCAGTCTGATATTGAATGATGAATACCTGCAAAGCAAGAATTGAAAAAACAGAGGGTAACTAATTTGTGCTCTCTTATCACTCTCAGGACAAATACAGCCGTCAAAAATAGAATTTTGCAGGTTACTTAATAACGTGAGCCAGCCTATCATATGGCAACTGATGCAACAATACTTGCTTGTTTGAAAATATACTTTGTGATATCATTTTTAAATAATTGGATATTTTTGGATATTGATAGCTGAAAGTTTTTTTTATCAAATTACTTCAGAGAATAAAAGAACGCAATTCCTTGCAAATAGCAGACACTTAATAAACATTATTGATTAAAATTGCGTGATGTTGATGGGTTAAACTTTCAATTTCATAACTGCCATATGCCACAGAGAAGTGTTTTGGAAGTACGCTGTCATGTTAACTTGTAAAAAGTTTTTGTGTCCGGACAATGGAATTTTGTGTGGTGCGCCCTTTCCCTACTTTTATACTCTTAACTATACTTCCCAGATTTTCTAAAACTAGCATATATTTCTTTGAGTCAAAGAAAAAAAATCACACTGTGATGATTCTTTCCTCAAAAATTCATCAATGATATGGGTCATAAACTCTGTGACATGTGATGCTCCTTCCATCTGAAATCTTCTCCTTACAACTAAGCAAAGGGCAAGGGGGTGGGGGCTAAGTGGAGGTAGGTAAAGAGGAGAAAAATTGGAACGCAAAGAGACTTTGCCTGGGCCAATGGGCACGTGACACAATGTACAGATGATGTTTTATTGAGTTGTACACTTGAAACCTATGTGGATTTGCAAACCAGTGTCACCTCAAATTTAATTTTTAAAAAGGCAGATAGATTTTTTACAGATTAGTATTTTCAGAAAACTTTCTACCCAGTGTGGGATTAGTTTACATTAACT